TGAAGATACTACTGGAACGGGACGACCTCTCTTATTATATAGCAGACAAACAAGGCCGGACGCCGCTCTCGTGGGCTGTGGCGCTTGGGCATTGGAAACTTATTTTTCTGTTGGAGCGCAATAGACGTTACTATGAAAAATCGCATTAGGCCTGTTGGAAATACTGCGCGGCATGCTCTCCCTTCCCCCTACTCTTCCCTTCCCCTTCCCTATTCTCTTACCCCCTCCCCCCTCCCTCCTTCCCTTCCCGCATAGTTTGCTTGTTTGTTCGTTTTTTGGGAGAGCGCGCTGGAGAGCGCACGGTGGTATAGCACAGGAGCCCACGGAGAGAGAGTGCGGGAGAGCGCTGGGGAGAGGAGCGCGGGAGAGCGCGGGGAGAAGGAGCGCGGGAAAGCGCACGGAAAAGGAGCGCGACGGAAGGGCGCGCTGTGGGAGCGCAAGTTTGTCTTTTTCCTTTGTTAGCTTTTTTTCTTGTTTGCTAGAATACAGGGGAGGGCTTACCTAGTGGAGGAGGGGGGCGTGAGTCTGTCCTTTCCTTTATTAGTTTGTGTTTGCGCGAATATGGGAAGAGGGGAGGACTTACCTGGGGGGGGGGAGACACTTTGTGGTTTGTCGTTGCCGCTCGGGGTTAATATCTAGTCCTGTATTTCCGTTAGTTGATGTTAGTTAGTTAGTTGATGTACGCGCGATAGTGAGGGGGTGAGAGTGTGAATGCGAGAGTGTTAGTGAGGTGAAAAAATTCGCAAGTTCTCCGCTTTTGATGTTGTGAGTAAGGACTTGGTGTTTCCGTGTTTCACAGGCTGTCACTCGTTCGTTTCAAGGCAGTTCGGCGATCTCGAATTTCATCAAGGCCCGAATTCACTTGATGTATACTGGAGAGATGGAATTCTCTATGATAATTGCTAGAGTGTGATACAGGAGTTAGTTTAGGGCATGGCAGGCGTAGGGGTTGTGTGGGGTTCAATAGCCTCTTCTCATTATGAGGGTTTTCCGTGTTAGGTGTACGAAGTGCGCTCACTACCTGTATGTAGCCTCCAGCCACTGTGAAGAAAACACCACATGATTGTCATCGAACATGGCTCTACTCTGAACCAACAGTAAAGTGCTTTGGTCCCAAACTAGGTATGAGTCTCCTACGCTGCCCCGGTTAGGATTGGGTTATGAACGAATTTTCATCAAAGTAATACAATCAGATCAGTGTTCATTGCAGGGAGGCGCAGGATGGGCTCTGGCTCTGCAGCCCCACCATTAGATGATTGAGTGAGAGCGAAAGAGACAGGAGAAAAGAAGAAAAGAAGCGAGGTAGAAATGTGGGTGGGGACATGGGGTGACACAAGCAGTCATGAGGGGTCACTCATGAATGTAGGAACTGGGAATGTTACGAATTGCCAGTGGACATTCTGGTTGTGCAGCGGAAGATTGTTGATTAAGTTCTCTAGCTAGCTAAGCGAAACAGGAACGGTATATGATACCCAATCGTCGTGACATAATCCATGATGTGGAATACACACTTCCACGTACATCACCGCATTCGCAATAGTGAGAAGGAGGCCTAAGCACTTCTCTCATGATACCTCTACCTTGAGGAGCAATTCCGAACCGGGAATATTAGGGTGACCATGACCACAATTTCCTACAAAAAGTACAACAAATGAGAAAGCAAAACAATTGTAGGCTAGCAAAGACAGGGTAGACACTTTTTTATTTCTAGCTTCCTAGACTAAACTATTTTTTTTTTTATAAAAAAAAACGCAAAACACACATGAGCCACCTACTAACAACGGGCAAACAGCAACAGCAAGTGCGGCCCACAGGCCATTAGAACCATCCTCTCCCCCTCGCAGCTGACCCGGGCGTAGTGGCCCAGTCCCTATCGTATTAGATATTATTTCTGGCTGCAACAGCAATCGCGGAAAAAAAGTGGCTGAGATGGTGGAGAACGTCTTCCATCTCGGCGCGAGATCTAGGAGCAGTTCCGTATTGATTCCTTATATCCTCGGTACAGGCTTGGGCGAAGTCCGCAAAATTTGATTCTATAAAATCTTCGGCAGCCTCCCACAGAACCTGATCCCCCCCATCCCCCCCATCCCCCTCCCCATCCCCATCCCCCATCCCCCTCCCCATCCCCATCCCCCTCCCCATGATCCTCCTCACTACCCTCCCCATCGTCCTCCCTATGATTCCCCCCATCACCCTCCCCCCCATACCGCTACCCTTTATCGCCTCCATCACCCTCCCCATGACCCCCTCCACCACCACCCGCGCCTACAGAACCGCTCGGTCCACTGGCGCCCGCCGCCGGCTTCGCACCTTCCTGCCTGAAAAAGATTTTGTTTATTTGGTCCATGGTCCTCGCTTTGCGCACGGCTTCACGTTTCTCGTATTCTGCAGGACCCATGGTCTGGAAAGGCGAAACCTTTAATTCTTCCCCCGGGTAGGCATCCATTTGATGCTTGTAGAGGTCATCGATATTACCGGTAACAAAGGTGCAGTCCCCAATGGAGCACCCATAGTTTTGGAGATGAGTACTCTGAATATGAGCTCTACATAAAATTGTTAACCACTAAACCAGCACCAAAGCAATACTTATAAGAACTCAAATAATTGAACCTCGCACTAGGGCGTTGGAGTTGCCTTTGCTAGTATTTCCGGAAACTTTTGCACCACGCAAGTAAACATGTCGGGGTGTAGGAAACTTGCATGAGACCCTTCAAAGTTGCCATTTCGGCAAGACAGGAGGAACCAGAGGAAGGGACCGGACAGACAAAATATCGCCCCCCTGTGCTGGAGTGTGGGGGGTTGTCCCCACCAAGTGCCTCCTCACTTCGTTGCTTTTTTTTTCCTTTGCGGTCGACCTCAGGCTCATCATTGACACGCTTTTGTGGGGATTCCGATCGACGAACAGGAGACCCGGACCCGGACCGTTGCTGAGATGGCCCACCACCTCCACTTGCCCCGCCAGCACCGGGTCCAACACCACCACTGGTTTGCTTGGGTATGGTGCCATGCACCTAAAGTGTGGACCAGGCTGTTGCGTTTTTGTAATGCCTGAATGTAAATAGGGTCTGGGGTTATAAATGTCAAAAATTAATTTCAAGGTTCTAAGTTCAATCCTTCATTAGATTGATGTTTTTTAGCACATTCTGGGGGTTTTCTAATACATGTTGGAATAACAAATATTATATTTCCAATTTGGAAATATTGAGCATGGACTCAACGAATTATGGATGCTTACCAGAGCAAAGTTGTTTATGCATCAGCAGAGCATGAGAGTCTTGTTCACCGGAAGTATCGATCATAAAAAATTGGAAATATAATATTTTTTAATCCAACATGTATCAGAAAACCCCCAGAATGTGCTAAAAAATATCAATTTAATGAAGGATTGAGCTTAGAACCTTGAAATTAATTATTGACATTTATAACCCCAGACTCTATTTACATTCAGGCATTACAAAAACGCAACAGCCTGGTCCACATTTTAGGTGCATCGCACCATACAAGCTCAGGGGTCTTTCGAAACATTTCGTCCTACTTTTTTTTTGTTTAGGGGGGGGAATAGAGAGAAGGCTGGTGCGCGAGTGAAAAATAAGGGTTTTTGTTGTAGTGATGAGGTTTTAGTTGTGTGTGGAGGGGGGAGGGTTTGTGGTTCTTGTGAGGAGTGGGTGGGGGGAGAGTTCATGGGTTGGGAGCAAACACCTCCATTGCACGTACATGCCAAGACCAATCCCGCACAAAAAATCATTAACCTTAAGTTCAACTTCATGTTAATGATTGCTTGTGCACGATTGGCCTGGGCACGTACTCGGGGGTGTCTCACTTACACTTACTACCGTAGAATCCAGTACTTCCTCTCTAGCTACCAGCTGCTTAAGGATGGCTCCTATAATGTTGGCAGTGTTCTGTTCTTGTTGGCCACGGAAGTCGCAGTAGAATGCCGCGACGGCAATATCTTCCTCGACAGGCACATCACATAGGCTATTGATCACCAATGAACTAAGATCGCCTGCCGTCAGTGATAACTCCTATTTCATCCGAAAGGCCAGTGGCTAACCTTAAAAAAGGTCTTTCCCACCCCAGGATTCCAGTAGCAAAACAACACAGCCTTGTCTGCTCCACCTTCATCACTTCTCCACTCCCGAAACTCGCTTGATTTCAAATACCTACTACCCACGCTATCGAACCTGTCGGTACGCACATCCTGGTTCCTTCTCTGGGGGTCCAGTGGCGGGAGCCACCCCATAACCTCTGAGTTCTCATCGGCCATGACTTGGTTCAGATTGGCTGTATTGTTGTGGCTATTCATGATGTTATTGCAGTTGACATTACCGCTGTTGGCCGAGTGCGTATATGCTATGAATTCCATGATGGTCTGCAGAAAAGCACTGAGTGATATATGGTGATGCCCTGGAACTGACAACAATGAGGGATATACATGCAAGGAGGTGAAATAAATCATCAAGTGCTCCAAGTGCGTCAAGTATTAAGATAAGACTAAACCAACCACTCTGCTATGAGTCTTACTTTTTCTTTTAAATACTTCCATAAGTCTTTCACTTTAACTATAGTCCACGGTGATATCGCAACAAAGTAAAAGAATGGATGTAACCGATGTCGACTCACAGCACAATGCCTGTGATTTTTCAGAAGAGTTACCGGGAGAATTAATTGACCCTTACTGCCTTGCGGATTTATGCCGGTGGTTTTTGAGTTCTAATTTGGCAAACACTTTTGGCTTTTTTATTTCTTAAAGATGTATCCCCCCCTCCTTATTAGTTTACGCATATGGCACATGACTTGCCTGATCATAAACTATGAGCGAGATCAAATCATGAACTTGAAGTTTCTGAGCATGCCAGCCAAAGAGATGTATCAGGAAAACATCACAGGGTCCTACCTCCACCAACCCTAGTCCGTCCATGGACTCGAAAAAAGACGGACTACCACCAGCGGTCAGCCCTGTCCTACCTCCAAGACGGACGGACTGGACGGTTCGGAACATTGCTCTTAACCTTGCAAACTGCGCTCTCAAGGTCCTGAGAAACCTTGGAGTCTGCATCTAATCGAATCAAACTCGGTTCCTGCTAGCCAGCCTTCACAAATTCAATAGGCAACTTCGGAGGTGTAGCGGAGAAAAGTAGCAGTTGGAAATTAGATGGTAATGAATGCAAAATCTGCCTCAATTGTGCTGATAGACCCATTCGAAATGATGACCCTCTTCATCCACGATAACATACTGAACAGACGTAAGATCCTGTTCCATCACAACTTTCAAGTGCATAAACTGTCTGAGAGTCGCAATAATCCTGCAACCCGCCGATCAGATATAAGAATCTTGTGGATTAACTTAGGGAGGCAAAAAAGCAGAGAAGACACATATCAGGATTCCCAACCATACACCCAAACTGCCCCTCGAGACTATTCCCTTCCGCTAACAGTACGACCTTTAAATCCTTTAACAACCTTCATAGTCTGCAACACCAACCCCCCACCCGGCAACAGTGCAAGCGCCCCCACCCTAAGGCTGTGTGTCTTCAACCTCACAACCATGGGTATGACGAACGATACAGTCTTCCCGCTATCTGTCCTCGCCATACCAATTACGTCCGCCCATCAAGCACTAAAAGTATAGCTTTTTTCTAACTAGGCGTATTATAGCAACAGAAAAACCCTCTTTTATCATTGCCTTGAGGAGAGACATATTTAGTCCCATAGATTAGAAACCGACACCTTTTTTAACGGATTTGCCTGTTATCGTTCGTTGAACTGCCTTCGCGGGTTGGCGCAGCTCGCAGGTCAGCAATGAGGGCTTGATCTCCAGCACTGTCATCACTTACCTCAAGAGTGTCATTGGTGTCTGATGGATTTTGAAGTGGGTGTAGCAGGGTTCTCACCATCCGAGCCTAGGAAATCTGTATCAGCGAGGGGGTTGGATGTCAAGATGGATTTCACTCACGGTAAGGGAGGGAGCATGGTATTCCATTGCCGCAGTTAAACGTTGGTTCACGTTGGTGGTTGGCACATTTGTTGTGAGCTTGGAGACAATTGGGGTGGGATAAGGATACTCTACCGTAGTATCATACTGTTGCAGGTCTTCCCTGTCAGGCGTCTTTTTGTGGGTCTTAGCAATCTTGACGGTAGAGGTTCCGGTGAGGATGGCTTGCAGGACAAAACACAAGAAAGCAAAGGCTTAGGATTGAAGTTGAAAGATGAATGCTTGATAGCTGTACTTGATCGGTTTGATCAAGTCATGAAAACGGTGAGGAATGAAGACTGAAGGAACTGTTTCTTCCAACTGAGGAACAATCCCACGATGCTTCTTCTTCCTTGGAGGTGTTTTCACCTCTATCAAATAACAGGAAAGGTACCAGCTAGATCGCCCACCTCTCAGCTACGCCAAAGCATACGCAATCCTCACATCAAAATACAGAAATCGTGGAGGTTATTGACAAGCGCCACAATACTAGGATCACCATGGCCCTAACCCTGACTGGACAAGGAGCAATTTGAGGTTACACGAACTCATGTCACAAACACTTGGGCATTTCCTTGTATGATAATTATAATATAAACTGAGGAGAAGTCCTATCATAGGTAGGGTAGAGTACATTTTGGCTAACGGCCCAATGAAGAAAAATAATAAGAATAGTTAAAGAAATCCTGATTACGGTATACTCTCTAACTTTATAACTTAGAGCTTAGTTCGAAAGCAGAGGGAAAAAAACAAAGGCAAAAAGACTCGGAGAACTCTGGCTGTCATAGCAATACTCGCAATTTTTGTAACACCGCAGGAAGGATGCTCTAACACGGATTGCCACATGTGCACCGAATGATATTCTGTACTTCGGATGGACTTGAGAGCACCCCCTCTAGGCAAACTGTAGGCGGGATGCCATCGTTTAGTTAGAGGGGTGTACAATATCCTTGAATGCACTATGTCTCTGTATTTATCAAGTGGGGCTCTTTGTTTATCGTTACATGGCTGTCCAGGATTCTGGGGTTGCTAGATACCGGATATTATAGGATAGTATAGTATAGTAGCATGGTAGAGTGCTGTATTAAGCCCAACTGCGATCTTCTGAATTGTGGTCGCTGTGACTGTAGGGTCAACGGGGCGCTGTCCTACTCATCTATGTATTTGTACGCGATGTGAACCTCAAACTCACATCGACACAAAGCCAACTCCTGAATAAGTTTGTATCTTCTTGCGAGGAGGTGTTTGCGAATGGATCCGGGCACTGGGCAAGAGGGTGGGAACTTGAAACATGATGCGTGTATTTTATTATACCTCTACAGTAGTAGCATTACGACATGCTGCCTTAAGGTTTTTGTCCACTTTTGTGCAGTATTAGCTAGCTCGTCTTCGAATTCCCCGTAACATTTTGTTCCAAAAATGGATCCGGAGACGCATTTTGCCTCGTGAAAATAAACGTGAGCATGATATGGTATAGGTTGGAATTAACTTGTTGTTCCCTGTGGTTTGAAAAAAAATGCCAATCGAATGAACAGGAGAGAAGAGAAACAGATTCTCTAGCAGAAGGAAAAAGAAATGAAGAGGAGAAGAAAAAAATCTACCAACTCTGGATCGAGGCGATAGCGCTTCAAAGCTTCATCAATATCAACATGTAAAAACAGCCTATTAATCCCACCAACGACGACGGGGATCCTCCGTTACCAGCACTAGTTGGTATTCCAATCCTTCTGACCCCATCCTCCTCGGCTCCAATTAAGCGGTCTCCCACCCTCCTCGTCAAAGCCCTTCTTCTCCTAGGCTCTTTCATAAACGACTACTGTCTCTTCAATACTGGCAACTGCGAATACAGGAGCCCATCCGACTTTCTTTTTACTACCATACCTCTTTCTGTGTTACTGGGGAATCCAAATCCAGCGGCGGTCAAGGCACGCTTCCCACAGCGAGACCCGATAGGGGCCAACCGCCATTCTCCCGTGTCAGGTGCGACGTACCAATCTAGTGGCTTGCGCACACCAATGAGGTTCTGCACGGAGTTAATTTCGACTATGTTCGTCGAGGCGAAGCCTAGGATTACCACGCGGAGCAGGGCCCCGTGTCGGCGGCGGCATGGCTGAGGCCTTGGGCGGGGGATCATTCCAGGCTCAATCTCCCACGTGGATGATTGTTGTGGACGCGTGAGGTCGGCAGGCGGAGAAGATGTGCTGGACGAGGTTTTCGGTGTAATGGGAGGCGTTAGCATAGAAGAAGCCTGGGCATTATTAGTTGGGGATTATCAGGACAGGAGGGTAGAGTGAGGAGATTACCTTCTGAGAAGCGGTAAATAAAGATTCTTGGATATGGGCTTACGACCTTAAGCTTGGGTTTGAGCCATCTCCTAGATCTAGTGGTAAGCAAGGGTTTCTACCACAGTTGTTCTCGGGACCGCGGGCCGAAGTCTTGTTCGCGGCACCGCCCGTCACTAGTTCTCCTGGCGCATTATACAGCGCGACTCCGCTTCCTCGGTCACTGCTGTTGTCGACACCATATAGACCATCACCCGTGACTGAGCAGACCTCAACTTTACCCAGCAGATGCCCCCTCGCCGTCGCAATCATGAACATAACCCCAGCGGACAACGCAATAGTAACGTAGATTCCATTTTCAATAGATGTAAATACAGTCAGAGACACCCGCGAAGAAGATGATCACTTCCTGAGGGGAGATGAACTAGAATTTGTACACCGCGTTGGGAGGGGTGATTAGATCGCCGACGGCATGGATGGTGGCAGTAGAGACTGGAGTTGGGGATGTAGGAGGACACCGAGGTAAATTGGTAAACAACTAGTAGGGGACGATACCAGTAATTACTCCGGCAAAGGGTGTGAGCACACCGGCTTCTGACTTGATAGCTGTACGGGAGAATGATCCAGTGGGGGGTTATCCGCCGAAGAGTCGACCAAATATATTGGTGATTCCGATCGCAATGAGTTTCTGGGATGGGTTAAGCGGGCAGCTGTTAATTCTGCCAAACGGCTTTGAAATCGCCTGATCTCATTCATTGTTAGCCGGAAGTCTAGCAGCTAGTATTCGAGGGTGGCGCAGAACATCCATTATGCTCAATCAGCAGCATAATAACCGCCGCTGGCAAATATCTCACGAAAGCGTTAAATATAGCGGTGCTCGCCTTTGGAACCCCATGTGCTTGAACCCACTAGGGATAGTTCCGAGGATCTTGGGAATTGATTTTTTGGCGCGTCCCCGGTTCGCCAGCCAGGAGATTAGAGTGTACAGCAGGATTGTGAACCCCGTTCTCAGCCTGGACAGGTAAAATCGTGTCTTATGATCAGAGTACATCTTGGTAGGAAGGTGCTGGTGATCCAACGAATGAGGTACAATAGGAACAGGGCGGTTAGTCACATTGCCGAATCCAAATTTTCTGTTCCCAGGTGTTATGATACGGTATTACCGAAGACTTTATACGTAGCATCATTGGTGGAGAACTGAACTTTGCACTAACTTAAGGTATCATAGAAGAAACCGTTTTGGCGCTTAACTTGGAGCACTAACCGAGAGTGATCGACTTGTGGGATAAATGGTAGTGGAGCTTACCTAATGTCCGGGGTAACCTAAAGTGGACGGAAGAGTGTTGGGTGAGTATATTAGACCACTATAGGCCGTTAATGCTGGCCAAATCTGACGCCTTTCTATGGATAGCAAATACGGGGGGGTCGGTCATGGTAGTTGTATTTAACACGGTAAGATCTAACGTGTAGGGTGTGTTTATCGTATTCGGAGGAGTGAGAATGGGGATGGGCGGGTGCGCGATAAGGCGAGGGGGAGGGAGGATGGATGGATGGTCGAAACCTGAAACCTTTGCGGATACGAAAGGGTCTGCCGCCAAGCACATGGGATGAAAGGTTTTCTCGTTTATGGTAAACCTTGACCAGGTGGCGGTGCAGATCTTGGCATTTGTTGGGTGAGTATCATATTTGGTCCACTATTCCTCTTCAGTAGAAAGATCCTTGCAAATATTACTAGGACAAATGGGGAAGGCAAATGTTTGCTGAGAAGCACGAGTAGACAGTATCTTGGCGTCGTCACGTCCCCAGACACTCGTCAATGGATCAATCGTTCTCGCTCTCTCCCAGACAACCGGCACCTTTTATCAAAATGTCATCCAAAATGGCATCCAAAATTTTCACAGAGATAAAAAATGCGATAAAGACGCGTAGCGCTGACACTAGCCCACTAACTTTTACCGAAGTGGAGCAAGACCAATTCGATCTGATCAGGCAGAGCCTCCGCCATCCCACAAATTATCTCGAACAATATGCGTTTCGGTAACCTTACCCCTTCCCCGTCTTTTTTTCTTTATTTTCTGCTTAACCAAACCCCGGCTATAGAATCCACTGGTTCGCCCCGGAAAGGTATCTAAAAGTCGTTATGCCGTGTGCACTGCATGAGTGCCCCGCCGAATGGGTGATTGCCGAAATTTCAGATGCATTAGCGAGCGGAGCCATTCCAAGGGTTTGGGTTCGTACGATAAGGATATCTCCATCACCGGGTTTATTAATTGTGCCCTGTTGAAATGTGAAAAATCTAGCTAATTAGGTTCACTAGAGTATAAAAATTTCGTCCCCCCGTTTAACCAATCCGCAAAGGAGGGAGACTTGAAAATTGTGCCACTTCTCGGTCCAGATTGGACCAAGAAGACAAAGTACAGTCGCACCCCGTTGTCCCGGACCTCACTCTCCCAGATTTTTCGTTGTCCCGGATGAAATTCGCTGAATTCTAGATTTTTTTACACCAAAATCCAAATCGCTGTCCCGGATAATCTGCTATTATCCGCTGTCCCGGACAGGTTCTTTTGGATTTTGGCCATCGGGACAGCGAGGTGCGACTGTATCCGTCTGTCATCCTCTAGTCAGGCTGGTTGGAACCCGTAGATAAGCTCCATTTGGATGCGAGGTTATGGTTGGCCGGGTCCGAGGGGGGGGTTCGAGTAGTTATTCAGGTCAAATTTTACAAGCGGGAGGGGGGGGAGCGGATTGGGTCATGTCTGTGGATGAGTCGGGCAAAGCCAGCTGAGGGCTCCGAGTCCTCTGCTGAGACCTCCCCCAACACCAAACAATATGCAAGGCTCTTCTCATCCTACTACTAAATTTTTTACCAACAAGTTAATTTGATCTACAGGAAATCCTTCCTCCGCCTAATGTTGCTCAGGAAAATCCAGCTATCTCTTTTGATGAGTTCTTTGCTGGAGGTTGCCCCCCCGGCATCAACCCACAGGGGTGCGTCGTCTTCGACTTGGAAAATCTCCGGGTCATAGCTAGGGGAGAAATCTTGAAGCGTGGGGCTACCCCCGATGAATACTAGACTTCCGGGAGAGAGGAGGGTGGTGTGGTTGGTGTTTGGAATTATTAATTTTTTTTTTCAGGGCTTTTCCGTTAGTTTAGTTTTAAATAAAGTGCGGGACGGAGATCTTTCTTCCTCACCGAAAAGTCCTATTGTGCGGTCATGGTACTACTGTCCAAGTGTTTGCCTTACCCAGTTGCTATCCCCGCCGTTTTTCAATAGGAGTGGATTGTGGTAGCGGCATTGGACAAGGCGGAGGTGGATGTATAGGCTGTTAATGCTGGCCAAATCTGACCCTTTTCTAGGGATACTCGTAGCAAATACCGGGGGGGGGGGGGGGTCAGTTGTGGTAGCTGTGTTTAACGTGGCAGGGACTAGCGTATAGGATGTGTTATTCATATTCGGGGGAATGAGAATGGGGATGCGGGTGCGCGATGAGACGGGAGGGAGGCTAGATGGTTTAAACCTGAAACCCTTTCGGATACCATTGACCGAGAAATACCCATGTTGCAACAAAGCTACAAAATAATATTAAAGATAAGGTGATACATTGGGTAGACTATAAATCTATTTCTCGGCCGATGGTATCCAAAGGGTCTACCGCCAAGCGCATGGTATGAAAGGTTTTCTCTAATTTAAACTGTGACCGGGTGAGTACATTTAACTACTCTACCACACCAACATTCTGCTGTGCAAGGATTTTATATACATATAAACCTCGCTTGCCGTGAACTCAATAAATCAACCATCACTGACCTCAGACAAAACACCCCGAAAAGGAATAATGCTTTCCAGACCCGGTATAGCCTAGGCAAGCTGAAATTAGAAAATATCATTAACTATTTGCACTATAGTAGTACTTGTATTAGGGGTTGGAAAAAAGTCTGTCGAACTTTGGTCTGGTTGGCCTCAATTCCATATATCCCTCCAGCGACAACGGATAACAACGACCTTTCCCATGTCCGTAGCCTCCGCCTGACGCTCGTACCTTCCAATGACGATGACGTTGCTCCCACGGCTGCGGGTGACCCTCCGGCATCCCACCGACGACCCTCTAGTGACGACCTTCCAACGACTGCGGGTAAGGACAACGGATAACAACGACGGAGAACTATGACGATAGCAAGCATACCGAGCAGCCATGACTTCCAACATTAGCATGGGGATACGAAAGCGGAAGGAGACCTGGTAGAGAATGGATATGTGTGGTGATAGTTAAAAGGATCGGAGGATGGCTCCGTTACACTCTTTCCAATCTCCTGTTTTTACCGTAGTTAGCTAGGTTGTGGGAAGGGAGGCCTTTGCCACTCACAAGGACATACGAGTACTGTGCGATCGAAGTCGTATCTTGTGCCGTGCAATTGTCTCTGTATTGCACTTTTCGCTTGACAAGGACAGGGACCCCTGTTCGTCGTCGCCTGATATTCGTCAAGACCCCACGAGAGACTGCAGGGCATACCGGTATGCGCGAGAAACTAAACGCAATACCAGAAATAGTATTACTTGGTAAATCACGTATTACATTATGGCACCTTGCATACCATGAGGACTCCATTCGGCTTGCTGACGCATCTTCATTCTCCCTGCTGTTATGTTTTGCCTTCTGCAGTGTGCGGGCCGGGGGGGGGAGGTGGGGGTTTTGGTGCGGTGGGTGTGTGGGTGGACGGGGTCAGCATCGGGTCCGTAATGTATTGTTCGTTGACAAAAATAACCGACCACCGAAGGTGCATGGCAACCATCGCCCATCACCCCCTTCCATTTTCAACTCCACCTAAAGAAATTGTGTCAACTCAACCAAAACCCATCCACTTTACCTGATTCTTTTTCTTTTAAATACTATGCCTCCTATTCTTCGCAGTCATCCAAAAAAACCTATTCCAACCCATCATCTCTCTGAGTTTACCAGGGGGAGAATCCTTGGGTTACACGAGCCTCAGATGGGATATCAGCAGATTTCTGACTACCTCAACATCCCCCTCACAACTGTTAAAAACACAATCTCAAAGAAAGATTTGGAGGGCAAGGAGAGAAAGGGTAGAGGAAGATATCCCAAGACTACCAAGTTACAGGATGATGCTATGGTGGAGGAAGCTCTTGAAAATCGCAATACTACCTATTTTGAGATTGCTTAAAAAGTTGCCCCCAATGTTTCTTCAAGGACAGTGAGGAGAAGACTTGCAGAAAAGCATCTTAAAAAGTGGTTAGCTCAAGAGAGAGTTCACTTGGATGAGGACCTAGCTCAAGAGAGATTGGAAAGAGCATTAGCTCATAGGCATTGGACAAGGGAGATGTGGAGGAGGAAGGCAATGTGGGGAGATGAGGTGGCTATACAGAAAGGAGGAGGAAAGAGGAAAAAATGGGTACTTAGATACCCAAAGGAGAAATGGAATAAGGATTGTGTTGAACCTGCTCCTAGGGTAGGAGAGAAGAAGATTAGCCAAATGATGACTGGTTGTTTTTATGGTCAAACTCATGGTCTCTTTTTGCCTGTTTTTCCTGATCCCTCTTCTGCTGGAGGTGGAGTGACTGGAAAGTCAATTATTGATGTTTATAATCAATATGACTTTTTAGGGATATGGGAGGATATTAGGGAGCATCTTGGGGAGGAAGAGGTTTTCTTTATTATTGACAATGCTAAGACTCACTTGCCTTTTAGGAGATGGCTCAAAAGGCAGGGAATTACTCTTATGGAAATTCCTGCCTATTCACCAGATCTCAATCCAATTGAACATGCTTGGGCTCTGGTGAAAGATAAGCTTCAGAAGCATTATCCTGACCTATATCTCATGAGAGGTTCTGACAGTGAGGTCAAAAAAGCTATAGAGGAAACAATTACTTTTTGTTGGGAACTTCTTGATCCAAAGATTTTTGATTCTCTAGCAGGTTCAATGGTGGATAGGATTGAAGCAATTATTAAGGCAGATGGATGGTACACTAAATATTAATTTCTACTATGTATCTACATTTTTTTATTTTTTTTTGTTATTATGTGCCTGGGGTTAGTTGAGAGAAGTGTTGTTGTACGGTCAAGTTTTTCTTGTTCGTTGTTCGGCGGTTATTTTTGTCATCGAACAGTAGCACGTCGCATAGGAGCCCGACCGATGCCAACCCCTTTGTGAGTGGGCCGGCCCAGCAGCCACTAATGTATTATTATACAAGCGGAATGTTGGGATTGATAGCAGGGTCCTTGTTGGGCATAGCTGTTGGGCATACGGCATGCCCATTTCAAAGGTATCCTGCAATCCTGGCGGGTGGCAGGCATAAGCCGTATCAAGGTTTCGGAATACCTTTGGAATGGAGAGGTACGGTGCAAAGTGTCTAAAGGTGGGTCCTCCAGTGAAACGGCAATTCTGTGGCAACCGATCGGAATTGAGCCAATAATTGCCAAGACTTGATGAGTAAGGTGAAATGATACACTTGGGGGAAATGAGTGAAGAGGTGAATAGGCGAAATTAAATAGAATTATGTGCCTAATATAATATAACAAAGATATGTTTTCGTTTGTTGCTAATTCGTGGCATATTGATGTTGATAGTGGATTGATATTGAAAGAGATTGTAATATTTTTATGCACTCAAGTTTACTCTCTAAAACTATTGTATGTTAGCAAAAGTAAGCGAATATGACAACAACCATAATTAATTTTTTAACAAAAACTAAAGTTCTTAGTAACAATCCCTCTTCTTTAATCCTGAGCAATGTGCCCAGGCTCAGAGAAATATTTGCATATATTTAGAGCACAAATAAAACTGTTTCATATAAAATTAAAATTTATACAATGAATTTCTGGCTCTGCTGATGTGGGTAAAAATAAATAAAAGAGTTTAGATATAATAAGTATATCCCTGCTTGTAAATACTTTCAATTACAACACATGAGTCAATTGCAAGTGAGTTACATACTCTACATGGTGGGATGAACTGCTTTTGGCCTAGTGAACCATGGCAAAAATTTATTAGATTGGTAAAAGATACTCAGACTAGAAGTCACTTTACTAAGTAATATTATCTGAAAAATCTTTTTACTTTAAGTAAATCAAATATTGAGCAATTTTAGCAATAGAGAACAGGTGTCCTCTCTTCCTGCCTAGAGTCAGAACAATTATTTTTATTATTATTTTTCAAATATTTTTTGTTGAGTAGAAAAGGTCAATAGAAATACTTTTGTCCAGTATTTGTACTTGGTGTGTTGCTATGTTGGCTTACTTTTGCTAATGTACAATAGCTTGGAAAACACATGGTAACTTAGCATAGTAGATAACATGTACCTCCTCATTCTCAATGGAGACTCCTCTCATGTCAACCTGGGGTTCAGTGAATTTTGTGATACATACAGTATTATTTGTTTGTAGTATTCATTATGGGGCGGGGCAGGACAGTTTTCCCCAATTTCTCCCCACCCCGTTATGGCCACGGGGTACCGCCAAACTCTCCCTTCCCTGCCCCGCCCCCCATATGCGGGCTACCGGGCAACCCAATTGTGCTCTGAGCCATATAATTTGGTGGGAGCAGTAGCGGGCCCCTGTACAGGAGGTGGCCAGGGCAGGGGGCAGTATCGGGCGGGGGAGAGAATGGAGGAGAAAATAGGCCCCGCCCCTGGCCAAACACTGGGGTAGGGCAGGGAATGGGGGTGGGGACCTGCAGTTTTTGGGACCCCAGAGGCCCCATAATAAACTCTATTTGTTTGTATTTACTAGCCCACTCGACATATCTATTGCAACTATTAGATATTAGATTATTTGGGCCACTTCAGAAACATTATAGTAAAGCTGTAGAAAACTATCATAATATACTAACAAATATTGACATAAGCCATTGCAATTTCCTTTTACTCTATAAGGAAGCCTGAGCCAAGGGCTATACAGAGCAAAATGTCAAGAGCACATTTTGCAAGACCAGTATTGTTCATTTCCTACTATGTATGGTATTATCCAAAAAAGGCTGAACCCTCTTCCACTAATGCATTCTGCATCCTCCTTTCCACTGGACAAAATACCTTATACCAAGTACCAGCTATGCCAGCAAACTAATCAGGCACTTAGTTTTGTTAAATTAGCGAGTCCTGGGAAAATATGTAATCTGATCCTCTGCTTTTCTGATACTGTTGAGTATAACCTCACAGCAACAGATATTGCTACAACCGAGATGCAACAGTTGTGAGCAGAGATCAAAATTGCAAAGGATGTGCAGAAGGATCGCTGAATCATCAGCCAGGCAAGAGTTATCACTGGAGCTGAAGCTTTAGAAGCCATGCGAAAGGCTGATGCAAAGAAAAAACCTCCAGCTAAACCAATACCCCAGAGCCAATCAACAACCCCCTACTGCCTACCACAACACACCTCCACTCCCAGTACACCCTCCACTATTCATGTTATACCATTTATCATGCACCATGTACGCTTTAATCTTTCTACTTTTTTCTCTGAACCACATTTTCCCCCCGGCCAGTACCGTATACCTAAAAGCCATCTGAATAGAACTTGGATGCCTCAAGTGCAGATGAGGGCACTCCCGATACTACCCACAGTGATACTGAGGAGAGCAGCTTCCCTACAATCTCTTCAGCTGGCCCACCAGCAGACCTATAGCTGATATTTCAATGGCTTCATCAAATGAGCCTCTGCCCCTCCTGGTCCTGACCTTTTTTTTTTTTTTTTTCTAAGTTTTCTTTTTCATTTCTCTAGTTTTCCTTTATTTCTTTTCATGTTTCCTTTTATAATACACTTTTTTGGTATGCCTTCCCTGGCGCCATTGATGGGTTGAAATTCATGATTTTCTTTTCAATGTGATGCATGTATCTCTTATCGTGATAGAACGGATCTTTACTGTCGGACAGTGTCTCGCTTCCCCCTGCTGTCTCACTTGTACCTTGGGGATGTTAGCGGACGTTTCATAGCACATATAGGAATATGTAGGGATGGGGTACATGTATATAAAACAAGCTATTATATGTGGACTTCCTGGAAAAATTGCTCTCATCCTACCGTCTCCTCACACCCATTGGAAATTGTCGTCGTTAGAAACCATTGTCGTGCTCGGATATATAGGTGTGCCTGCTGTTACGAGTGACTCCTCACGACAGCTTTAGTCACCCCTGCCCCTCACTCCTATCCCTATACCCCCTCTATTTTTCCTGTCTTTTTCTTTCTTGCCCTTCCCCTCTTAATCTCTTTTCTTATTGCTCTATGAGCAACATAAACAGCTCGATTGCCTTGGCAACTTATCTCCTTTTAGTTGCTCTTGGTGCAGCTCAGTTCCGCTCATTCGCTCGCCGTGCCGCTCAACGACACCTATATACCATTATCCTGACCACGCTCACTCTCTCCACTACAAATCATACCACACACAATCCTGATTGATACTCCTGTTATCTCAATATAACAAAATGCCGACTTGCAAATTTTAAGACATTTCCACTTTCCCTACAACAGAATTTTCTAACTTAGAAAATTGAGTTCGTGAGGGGTTTTTGGAGGAAAATGGAGGGGCTCTACCTACTCTGGTTGCCTGCGTT